GATCCTGCCCTGTTTGAGTTCCTATCCTGACTTCTTTCAGTGGTAAGAAGTGATATAGGCCTGTAAGATAAATAAATCCTTTCCTCCCCAACGTGTTCATGGTGTTTCATAGCAGCAATAACCACCCTAACTAAGACAGGAACTTCTACAAATCCTTTACCCACACCCAGGTCAAGGAAAATAACTACAGTGCAAAGGCCTGCCCAGCTCCTCCAACCCACAGCACTCTTGACTGGGTACAGCATAGACTGAGTATGAAGAAAAAGACAGAAACACCTGTGCCAGGCACCTGCCTGCCAGGAAATAGGAAATGGAAATTGTTTTATAAGAGATAGATAGATAGATAGATAGATAGATAGATGATAGATTATAGATAGATACATAGATACATAGATATATAGAGACAGAAATAGATATAATTTGTTTTGTTTTGAAGTTCTAGGTGAAAAGTAAACCCTTCAAATGTTGCTTCATTTTCTTCCAGAATTCTGTACTGCTAATTTATGGAAGTATGTCTTTTCCCTTCCTAGGATATTTTCCCTGAAAGCTTAAAGGAATACTTACCCTTACTCTGACATCTCATATGAAATAGCAAGGTATGAACATCTTTTTACTATGGAGATCTTTTCAGACTATGTAGTTGTGTGGTTTGGGGTTTGGGTTTTTTCGGTTTTTTTGTTTTTGGTTTGTTTGTTTATTTGTTTGCTTGTTTTTGGCAAGCCTACAGGAAAAGGACAGAATTTGATTGTCAATCCAACTTTCTTAATTCAGGAGTGGCTTGAAGTTCAGTGTTTAAGTAGATGGAATATTTGATCATGGAGGTGGTACATTTTCAAGTTTGTTGTTCTTTATATTTTTTAAAAGACCTTTACTTACCACTATTTGATTTCTTTACTTTATCTTCACCTCAAATATCTGAGAATCTCTTCTCCTTCAAGAGCAGCTAACTTTTCTTTGTAATGATGCCTTCTTAAACTTCACAAATATTTTCAAGGCTGAATGTTCAGCTCTTCTAGGTTTCAGCTTTGCTTGGACTATCCCCTCTTAGCCAGAAATCTACTTGAGGAACTTCTATGTGTCTCATCACTTTGGGACTCCAGCTGCCTTGGTAGCATGCTGTCCTTAGCTATGGCCATTGTTTTGTGTGGACACTGGAGCTGGTACTTCAGTTTTAGATGCTTATATTCCAGCTTTTGTGTAAGTTGAACATGTTAGTAATTTTTGCCTCTTGGTTGTTACAGATTATTTTATTGTCTTTATGGCTTTTTTAGAACATATGAAGAAATTCCATTATAGGTAGCTACCATTTATCTCCTATAGAGTTTTATATGTTTATTAAAGATTTTATTTTAAAGCCAAGTGTTGGTGGCACATGCCTTTAATGCCAGCACTCAGGAGCCAGAGGCAGGAGGATCTCTGTGAGTTCAAAGGCAGCATGGTCTAACGAGTGAGTTCTAGAACAGCGAGGGCTACACACAGAAACAATGTTGAAAAAAATATTAGGAGAATGTATGTCTCTGTGTGACGATATGCATTTGTGAGTACGGATGACTGCATGGTCCAGAAGAGGGTGTCAATCCCCTAGAGCTAGAGTTACAGATGATTTTGAGCAGTCTGAGGTGGGTGCTGGGAACCAGACTTAGTTCTTCTAGAAAAGAAACAAGTATTCTGAACCACTGAACCATTTGTACATCCCTTTTGTGTTTAATGAAGAAAAAAGATTGGCCTAGCTGAACTAGATTCCATAAAACATTGGAGCCCCAAATTAAGATTTCCTCAGTAACCCCATGCTGGCCGAGGGTGTGGGGGGGTATGTGGGTGTGGGTGTGGGTGTTACAAAGCTCTGGAGCAAAGGAGGACTTTGCCTCATGGGAAGAGATAGACTTACCACAATTTTAAAAGCTTATCCAGTTAAATTAATATATGCACACTTTCTGGCATTTGTTTCATCAAGTGTATGGGATTCTGACAGTGGTGCAGGAAAAACAGACATTAGGAGTCTTCCACCCTGAAGTTAGACTAAGTTGTAAATAATACATTTTCCTTTACTAACCTTTGTTTCCTAATTTCTTTTGAACTACAAGGAAATTAAGGTGGTAGACTTATGGACCTATAACCAAAATTATGGCTACCACCTACTGAAGGAAAGGAATGAAGTATTTCTTTTGTCTTTCCTTAAACACAGTACCTCTGGGTGACCAAATTCATAGTGGATGAAGCAAATTTTATCTCCATAGAAATATTTGTACTCAGAGGTCAAGCATGGTGGCACATTCCTGTAATCCCAGCACACAAGAGGCTGACACAGGAGGATAGCATGGCATGTTTGAGGTGAGCCTAGACTGTAGGAAGATCCTATGTGTGTGTGTGTGTGTGTGTGTGTGTGTGTGTGTGTGTGTGTGTGAGAGAGAGAGAGAGAGAGAGAGAGAGAGAGAGAAAGAGAGAGAGAGAGAAATTAAGAAAGAAAGAGCAGTGAAAAAATATTATAAAATATCACTGTGCTATAACCACTGATGAGTTCAATCCATCTAGCCAATAAGTAACTGCTACATCAGGGAATGAAAGAAGAAAGCTGCTTGACATCATATGCTTACTAACAGAGTCATCCCACACACAGGAAGGAAGAGAGGGAGGGAGGGAGGGAGGGAGGGAGGGAAGGAAGAAATTGCATTGGTTTCTCTATAGATTATATGTCTTAATACTTGGGTCCCCAGTTGGTGGAACTTTTTGGGAAGTATTTGGAGGTGTGGTCTTGTTGGAGGAGGTGTGTCAATGGGGGGTGGGCTTTGAGGTTTCAAAAGCCCATACAATTCCCAATTATCTCTCTCTGTCTGGTACTTGTGGATAAGATGTAAGCCCTAATTTATTGCTCAACACTATGCCTGCCTGCTTGTTGCTACACTTCCTGCCATGAGGGTCATGGATCATGAGTCTCAAATTAAATGCTTTCTTTTATAAGTTGCCTTGGTCATGGTATCTTATCACAGCAATAAAAAAGTAATAAGACAACCATCAACCTTCTAAATCTCCAACAATTTACTGGATAAATGTGGTAGCCTTATGGTATAAAAATATATTGTTATTATAAAATCATCAGCATCAAAACTGTACAATCATCAAAATCTAGACTATGAAAACAGAGATAATTCTTCTTCAACTAGCCAGGTACAAGGGAAAATCGAGACAATGATTGGAGGGAAAAAAATGATCTGCTTACAGATTTAAATTCTTGAAAAGTACAGACACATGACGCCTTTCAGTGTCACACTCAATAATGGGCGGTATGGATGACAGTGTTCTATAAGACTATAATGGGACTAAAAGATTCTTGTAGGCTACTTATATTATAGTTGATTTAATATTATAACACCATATATTACCAATGTTGGTGATGGTGATGGTGTAGCCAAACCCTCCATGCTATCAGTCATATAAAGTACAGCACCTGCACTTATGGATAGAATGTAATACTTAATGGTGACAATAGATGATTACATGACTGGTTTGTGTATTTACTATATTATAACTATTTATTATTCTATTAGTGTGTACTCCTACTTATAAATGAAAGTTATTTGTGTAATACTAGGCTGCAATATGCTCACAGAAGTCTAATTTAGCTTGTGTTTATGCTGTTTCTTGATTACATCAAGAGGCCACACAAAACGATTGATTGTCTTCTACAATGTAAGTTTGTGTAAGTACTCTATGTTTTTTGCTCAAGGATGAAGTTGCCTAAGGACACATTTTTAGGATGCACCACTACATGAAGTGACACATGACTATAACTACACATCAACCAGGGGCAAAGTATAGATTTTATTAGATCTTGATTCCTACAACCACTGAGGAAACATAAGCAGACACTGAGTAGATATACAGGGATCATTATTATTTGTAGGCAAGACATGATACAGTTTTGTTTCATTGTTAGAAAAAGACTTCTCCTCTTAGCACTGAACAATGGGGTGGGTGTTGGGAAATAATTCATTCAAAAGAGTGCTTGTCAGACAAGCACAAGGACCTGAGTTCTAGTCTCCAGGACCATTATAAAAAGTCACTGGGAAGGCAGCAACAGGCAGATTTCTAGATCCTATTGGCCACTCACTCTAGTTAATCTGTGAGCTCTGGGTTCAGTGAGAGACCATGCCTGGGAAAAATATTTACCATCTTTTATTGCAAGAAACAACCTACAACAAAAGGAGTCTCCAGTGTCTGGGAAAAGACTATTACTACTAAATAATAACACTTGTGTACTACTAATGATAATACTTTGTTGTGTTCTGCACTTTCTTTCAGATAGAGGACTAACTTCTTTCATTCAAGGTCACCAGAGAAGAAGAAAAGAATATTTCTTACACAGGCTTTCCCAGGAATACATTAAACTGTGACCAGTTTACTTCTGTGATAGGTATACAAAACTGAGGCCATGTGAAGCCTCTTTTGAAAAACAGCATGGTTATAAAATGGAATTAACTAGCATCATTACAACATTACTTGCTAGCTTTACATTCATTTGTGACTGTTTGGTACTGGGGAAGTCGTTCAGATTCATTCTGGCAACCTGAGTCTGACACCCAACAAAGAGCATCCACACAGCAGTGAATATGGGAGAAAATTAGAAAATTCTGTGCACACACAGCTCTTTGTAACCTTTGCACCCTGTGAGTTTACTTGTTTATCTTGCAGTAAGATCAGTTTTCAGTCATACCTTTTAAGTCCTATTTATTTTTCAAGACTAGTGTGAAGCTCTTTATGACAGGTTGCCTTGAGTGTCAATGTACAGAGACAGGATGACCTTTTGACTGTTATGTTTTCACTTATGTACTCAAATAAGCATCTGAACACTCTAAAATGGATATTATATTAAAGATGATAGGTTTGGAAAACTACTACTTCTCATAGATTTTCGAAGAAAATCTGCTATACTCTTGATGGAGGCAGTTAGTTGGAAATTCCAACTGCCTATCCTTTAGATTTTTCTTAGCAGGCTTCTGTACTTAGTAGCAGCTGATTGGCTGTTACCAAAGTTAAGTGGACTGTTAAGGGAGTCAACTGTAAAAATCAGCTAAGGCAGTCAACTGTGAAAACTCAGCTCTTGATAGTTGGATCTTTAATCTATACAGAAGAAACAAGGCTAAAATGTAAACAACAAAACAAAAGACAACAAGGGAGACATACAAGTAAAGGTAAATATAGTAATGAATACTAAAATAAGCTTCCTGCAATAATATTAATTGATGTAATCACTTTTCTGTGACAGTCAAATAGCTACAAATGAGACAAATGGGGAGGAGATAGGCTTGTTCTTTGGTTGAATTCACAATGTTTGTTGTCACAGAAGAGAAACACCTCAAACACACTGTCTCAGACAGTTTTGTAAATTCAGTTCTTGATACTGTCTCTGCAGTCTACAGTGTAGACTCTACACAGAAGAAACAGGAGTGAAACATAAAAAGAAAAGGCAACTAGGGAGGAATTAGAGGTAATTATAATAATGAATATTAAAATAAGCTCCCTGCTATAATCTTAATTTAGTGTAATCACTTTTCTATGACAATGGAATAGTTACAGATGAACTGGATGGGGAGAAGGTAGGATCCATCTTTGATACAATTAGCAGTGTTTGGTGCCAGAGAAGAGGGAAATTCCAAATGTCTGGTTTGTCATAGACAGGTATGTAAAGCTCATAATAATTAAAGGTATGGGTAACTAGAGTACTAACTGTTGTCAGTTTAACTGTTAATGAAAAAAAAGTAAAAGGCATTCCCATTTACTGTTCTGTAGATTCCAAGTTTGACTCTGACTAGTAAAAAAGATAGTCTAATTGTCTGATAAGATGAGACATCTGAATTTAATAAATGGAAATTTATGTAACTGAAGAAAGAAGTTGTAGAGGTAATCAAATATTCAGTATTACTATTAATACTGAAAAATATGAACTTAGAGAAACAACTAACTGAAAAAAATTTCAATTGTTCAAGATTCACTCAAACTAAAATCTCTCTATATATGAGGTGCCAGTTGAAAAAGGGGAATATCTACTTAGGAAAAAATGGTTATATTGAAGGAAAAATGAGATAAAGATATGTATCACCAGTTTAATGATAGTTCAAATATAATTATTCCTGATGCACTTGAATTTTTTATTTTGTGGTACCTTCATGTGTTGAATGAATGTGTTGAGTCCAAAGATCTTGTTTCTAAGCTAATCTGTCACTAGGTAGTAATGATCTTGAAACATGCTTTTATTAGTTATTTTTTTATTACTGTGATAAAATGCCATTGCCAAAGCAACTTACAGAAGAAAGAGTGTATTTGGGCTTCTACTTCCAGAGGCTTAGACACTATGATGGCAGAGCAAAAGCATAGGGCAAGAGCAGGAAGCTGAGGGCTCACATCTTGACCTGCAAGTATAAAAGAGAAAGATTGAATTCTCAAAGCCTGACTTGAGTGACATACGTCCTCCAACATAAACCTCTTAAACAGTGCCATCAATTGAGGACCAAGTGTTCAAATGTCTGAGACTATAAGGGGCAAATCATTCAAACCACCATGGATCCTAAAGTGTATTCTGTCACTAAACTAAAAGAGTAAGTAAATAATGTTGAATCCTGAAAAAAGGGGTATGCAGTTAGTAACAGAGCTATAGGGAACCACTTCTGCTGTGTCTCCCTTGAATTAACTCTCTCAAACCTGTTTCTTCCCTGAGTGTTTAAAATCTTTCACAGAAGGTTCTTGGTTTTTGGTCAAAGATAAACCATACCCTAATTCTATAAAATTAAAATAACAATTTTATGCCTACTTAATAAAAGGAATTAGAGAAATATTGAGGATAACAATAATATAGGTCAAGCAAACTGGAGACTTAGAGTACAATGCATTTCTATTAAATGAATGAGAAAACCTTATGGGATATAATGGTGTTATATCATTTAATTTGAATGTTTATGTAAATAATACAAGATTTTGATAAGAGCATTGTTTTCTAAATTAAACAATGACCATATCTCAACTTAACACTCAAATTATTCTTACAAAAAATATAATTGAGCAAGCACCATGCTGGTATACTTTATCATACTAGTTGTTTATTCTTCCCTGTGAAAACTTGTTTCTTAAGGTGACTGAAAACATGGCCTTTTTTTAATTGAAAAAAAATGTTTTCATACAAAATATGATCAGCGTTTCCCCTCCCCCATCTCCTCCTTAAACCTTCTCATCTCTCCACCCAACTCCATGCCTTTTTAGCCTCTCTCCCTTTAAAAATCAGACAAGTAAATGAAAGAGAAAAAAACACAAGAAACACACACACACAGATACACAAAACCATAAAACCCCAAAATTGGAAAACATAATATATAAGCCAAAGATAAGTAGGACCAAAAAAAATGCCTAAACAAAGCAATATGAGACCAAAAGTCCACAAAAATACCATTGAGTTTGTATTGTTTTGTGTTGGCCATCTACTACTAAGCATGGGACCTACCCTTAAGTTTGGTTAATATACTCAGCAAGACTCCATTGAAGGAAACTAATTTTTCCTTGCAAGCTGATGTCAATGGGTGATAGCTTTTTGGTTAGGGATGGGAGCCCATGTCCACTCCCCTCCTTCATACTGTGATCCTATCTGGCTTAAACCTGTCCAGGTCCTGGGCATGCTGCCATAATTTCTGTGAGTTCATATCCTGTGGATCTGTTCTGTTGTGCCTGGAAGATATTGCTTGGAGTGATCCATCTGCTCTAGCTCTTAAAATCTTCCCACCTCCTCATGTGCAGAGCTCCTTAAGCCCTAAGGGGAGTGTTTTGATGAAGATATCCCATTTAGGACTAAATATTCCAAAATCTCTCACTCTCAGTGCATTGTCTAATTGTGGGTCTCTGTGTTAGTTCCCATCTATTGCAAGAGAAAGTTTCTCTGATGATGATTGAGTGAAGCACTGATCTATAGGTATATCAGAATGTTGATAGGAGTCATTTTATTGCTATGTTCCTTTAGCAGAACAATATTATTTGGTTTTATGGTAGACCTATGACAGTCTCAGGCTCTTGACAAGCTGAACAGTGTTAGGGTTCCATCTCATGGAGTAGCCTTTACATCCAATCAGAAAAGTGATCATGCAGGCAGATCACCTTTGTAGATCACAGGGTTTGTAGCTGGATTCATGGTTACCTTTCTCTACTGTTAGTTTGATAAGTATCTTTTATTACCATGAACTCTAGAGAGTAGGGGTGAAGTCTCTAGTTAGGGATCAGCTCATCATCTCTGTATTCACTAAGATATGAAAGTGTTGTCTTCAACTTGACATTAGTTTCTGGAGAACAAATAATACATGTTTTTTTTTCAATTTTTCCAAGGTTGTTCTGATGGTGCATGCCTTTGATCCTGGCAAAGGAGGCAGAGGCAGGTGGAACTCTGTGGGTTGAAGAATAGACTGGTATCCATAGTAACCTGCAGGCAAGCACAGTGAGACCCTTTCTCTAAAATTAACCAAGTAAATAAAGAAAAAATAGACCTTCCTGACAGGACTTCTTTTATAAGAGACCTTATAAAAGTGGCAAATTCAAAATCCAATGGATATTTGAACATTCTGCCAATAAATATTCCTAAAGAAGCAAAGCAAATTTTGAAGGAGGGAGCATACTAATTAGTTGAGATGTTATCAGGAGCCCTCCAGAGTCTGAGATTTTAGTCTACTTGAAGGTGTCAATTCAGGCTTATACCTATTTCTTGGTTTCTGACAGTAGACATAAGATTGCTAGGGTTAGAGACAAAAGGCATCATTGCTCACAGAGAGAAGCATAGCCAGAGTATCAACGTGAAGCTCTTTCTAATTCCTTCACTCCCAAAGTCCAACACCATTTCCTAGGGTTCCATAACAAAGTACCATACACTGGGTAGATTAAGCAACAGAATGCTTTTTCACAATTCTGGAGGTCAGAAGCCTGAGGTCAAAGTGTTACCATGGTTGATTTCTACTGAGGGCCCTGAGAGAATGATCTAGTCTGGCCTCTCCCATGAGTTTATAGATGATTGTCTTGTCCCTGTCTTTGCTTTATCTTCTCTTTGTGTAACTCTGTGCCCAAGTTTACTCAACTTTTAAGGATACTAGACGTTTTCAGTTAAGAGCGTCTTTCAACGACCTCATTCTCTAAATAGGATCTCATTCTAGGGGTTAGGACTTCAATATGTGAGTTTTGTTATAAATGACTCAGTCAATAACAGATACTTACACAAGCCATGAAATGCATCACAGAGGAAGAACACTGACTTTAGGAGAGTCACCATGGAAACTGGCCTGCTGTTGCAACTCCCTCACATCTTTTGGCTGCAAACATAACCCTGAGAAAAGTCCTGAATCAAGAGCACCAGAGACTTGCATTCTTACTATACTCAGCAAGAATATGCAAGGAAAGTTTGGGACCATGTAGACTTAATCTAAATCTAGGTATTAAAAATACTGTCAAAATAGTAAAAGAAAAAAAAAGATTGTCAGTTTTATCATCCTTAGAGCATTTACTGATCTAGGCAGGTTCTGGATCTTATAATTAATCTAATATCATGAATATCACTTCTCCCACTGTTACCTATATTGAAGAAAATCCCAAGCCCCAACCTCTCTGTCTCTCAGGAAGACCATATTTTACATATTTTAAATACACAGTAGGAGATAAACTAGAATGTTGTCATGTTGCGTGTGTATTTCAGGGATTTGTTGGTTGGCCAATTGTTAATTGGGTGCTGGGGACTAAACCCAGGGCTGTGTGCTTGCTAGGCAAACACTCTACCTCCCTCTTTATCATCTGCTTTTGTCCCATGATAAAAAATATTATTCACTTGAAGGGGTGTTTTCTTCACCTCTGTGTAGTTGTTTTCATATCTAAAATGCAAAATAATATTTTCAGAGTAACTGAATAGAAATAACTTATATTTATTCCAACAGATGGAATCACCATTTATATATGTTATGATTTTACTTTTGAATGTGTTTGAATTTTCATCAGGAATTGTATATAATAAACGTAAGTATCAGACTCTCTCCTTTTCAGGAGTTCTTATTCATAACCTTTCCTCATTTACAGTTCTAATATTATCCATTTAATATTTTTTTCTTGACAGTATTTTCACATTGTTTTCATGTATTACCTATTTTCTGTGGCCTGGGTGTCTAGTAATGTCATTGTGAACCCATTATTACCAAGTTGTGTATTAAAACTTTTTTAAATAATACTTTGTCACTTCCAAGTCATAGAATGTTCATTAATAGCAGATGAATCATGGTAAATATTTTATTATTTGGACAGATATAAATTTTTTTCCTTGATGTATGAATTCTCAGTCTGTCAAAGTAAAAGTAAATTTTCCTAAAAAAATTATATGGATAGAATTAGTTCACAAAACTTTAAGAATAGAAAAAATTTGTTAAGGGAAAAAATGCACTTTCATCATGTACACATTTTTGAGAGCGTTCTGCATCCTAGAATGCATGCCAGAATACAGTGGTGTTTGATAAATGGATAGATAGAAGAATTAAGACTTTCTATTCACAAATGTGTTGCAGAATTTGATGAGATATGAATTGTTCCAGTTTTTAGTTCAAAACATTGTAGTAGGGGTTTTCTGACATATCTGTGGATATAAGCCAACATTGGAGAGTCATAGAAGGAGAGGTGTCAGAGAAAAGAGTGATTGTATCTGGCTGTGGAAAAGCAGGTTGTTAAGGCCAGCTTTATATAAAAGAAAACAATCTGTCTAGGTCTTTAAAGTGGGTAAAATTTGCATATGCACATATGAGAAAGTATATGTTTCAAAAGCAGTATCAGGACACATGATAAACAATAGTTTGGAAGTAGTAAATTGCAGAATATGTGAGGGAAGCAGTGCATAGTTCAATCTGATGTGAAAGAAGGGATACAATCAAACTATTCTGAAAGACTGTGAGCTGGTGCATTTGATAGAGGTGCTTGCACATGAGGCAAAGAAATACTGATTTCAAACTATAATCATCGGGAGGCTGTTTACACTGATATGCTTACATAGACAAATGTAATAATAACACTAAAAATATGTTGTACAAACAATATGCAGTATAAAATAAACTTATTCTTAGTTCTTACATAAATCTAATTAAGTAAGTGGAAGAGTAACATACAACAGCTATAGTTTGGATCAATATGGCAGAATAGGGTGAGAAATACTTTTATCCTATCCTGTTAGATTCTATGGCTGATGTTTGTGATCTAAGGAAAGACAGACAAACAGGAGAAAAAGCATGTAATTTCACTTGATTTCAATATTCTATGTGTTATTGAGATCTTTGTAGAAAGAAGTGAGATTCCAAGGAAGTGGTTAAACCCATGGATTAATGTACTATTCCATGAAAAGTAACAAGTTGGAGAGAGAGGACAAAAGAAGAAAAAGGGTTTGGGGATGATAAACAGAGGAAGTCTGTTAAGAAATATATAGGAGGGAAATGATGGAAGATAAACACTTTTAATACATTTGAAGAGACTCGGTATCAACTCTTTTGCTGTTGATTGGAAAAGTATGGTTTCTTTTAGCTTGAAATCATTTCAGTGGTAAAGTGGCTTATGTGCAGGGTAGCATGTTCTGATCTCTTCCAGCAGCAGTATGTGAACTAAATTGGTGATGGGAGTTTTGTTGCTTCTGGTTACATCTTCATTGTTATACCTGTGTAACTGTGAGCAGAACAATGAGTGCATATAATAAATGACACTAATCGTGAGTTTTCTAATTCTGGTCTAAAATTCGGGTCCTTCCAGGGATTTTTTTTAAACAATCCAATCCTTTTCCAAGTAGTGTAAGCATGGGTTTGAGTTCTAGCAGTTGCAACTACAGTCTCCAACTCAATGGGACAGTCCAAACACAGCTCTGTTCTATAATAGAGGGATTTTTAAAGACTTTATTATTTTAAGCTATTTTTCTATGACTGTCTATACCCATTTTCTTTTCTCTCTTCAGCCTCTAAGCACATTTTTAAACATATTGTACCTTTTTAGGTGTTTTGTGTGTCTGTGCCTGGCTTTACTAAACATCTACAATGTTCTCTGATCACATGAGATGAATCTTAAATAGCTATGTCTGCCATCAGTGTGGCTCACCTTAGTGCATGGTGCTGGTACATGGCACTGGAGGCCAACTCCAGCCTACAGGCAGTCTCTGTACACTGAGCCTATCCAAGAAACCTTGGTCACCAGGATGCCCTGCCAGGAAGGTACATATGACTCAATGTTTTGATTTTTTTTTTTTTAGTTTTCTCAGGCCTTATGTTGATACATGTGGCTGGCTGGATGTTTAACACCATATGTAGACAGATTTTTCTTTGACAAAAATGACACAGACTTACTATTGATTATGAAAGCTCACTCTTAGCTTAGATTTGTTCCTAACTAGTTTTTATAACTCACATTAAGCCATATCTTTTAATCTACATTCTTTTACATGACTTGGTTACCTTTACTCTGTACTGCCTATCCGGCTTTCTCTCCATCTGGTTGGAGACTCTACCTTTCTTCTTCCCAGAGATCTCTGTCCAGAAGTCCCAGCTATACCTGCTGCCTAGCTCTTAGCCATTTAGCTTTTTATTAAACTAATCACTGTGACACATCTTCATACAGTGTAAAGGAATATTCCATAACAAGGCTCCTACAATAATTCTTTCTCACAATGCCATGCTTTGTCCTGTCAGACTAATGAACCCAGTTCTTTTGCTAAGTAGGAGTCCAAGCCTGTGTTTCAAACTATAGGGTTACATGTTACATTTTCCACTGTACCCATTATAACCTCTTTAGTCCAAGATAAGATGAAGGGATCCTCCTTCCAACCTCTGTGGCTCTCTATGAGAGAAAAAAACTCCATCTCTAGCCTGGTGTGATGGTGTAAATCTGCAACTCCAGCCCTCAGTAGGTGAAGATAGGAAGATGGCACTTATTTTGAGTACATCCTGGGTAACATAGAAAGTTCAAGACAATCCAAGACAAAATTATGAAATCCTGTCTCAAAAGCACCAAAACTTTCTCTGCTCCAGTTTTTAATCATCTTATGCTTATAACAAGAGTGAGGAACTCGAGTGTTTGGTGAAGTCCATAGTTTTTGTCACCTTGCGCACTCTTGGCATCATGGTCTAGCATACCCTGCACTATATTTTAATGCTTTAGCCAACCCCTCCTTTTATGAATCCTAATAACATATCTTTAAGAAGAAAAAATGTGCACAGATTGGGTTTTCTCTAAACACAGTGAGTTCAAAATTACAATTCTGTTCTGTAGAGGATGGGAAGGTAATTTAGACAGAATCTCATGTAGCCTAGGATGGCTTCTGACTGTTGACCCTCCTGCCTCCATTTCTTGAGACCTAGAATTGCATATGTGCAACTCCGCGCCCAGGTTTAAATAAATAAATCTTTTCTTTTTTAAGACAGGGATCTTCTGTGTAGCCTTGCCTGTCCTGGAACTCACTTTGTAGACCATGCTGGCTTTGAACTCACAGAGACTGGCCTTCCTCTGCTTCTTAAGTACTGGGACTGAAGGTGTGCACCATCACTGCCCAGCTATTAATGTTTGTTCTTTAAAAAGTGATTTTATCACCCAACAGTGGTGGCACACACTTTCAATCACAGCACTTGACATATCACTGAGTTCAAGGCCAGCCTCGTTTACAAAGTGAGTTCCAGGACAGCAGAGGGTACACAGAGAAACTCTGTCTCAGGAATAATAAAAAAAAAATAAGGAAAAGAAACATGTTTTATCAGTTTGAAAAATGTGGTACTTTTCATGTAAGTCCTTGTATTTTGACCTGTTTGTTGTTGTTGTTTAGGTGAGAAGGAGAACCACTTTGTTTGTTCAAGTGAAGAGGTCCCCACAGACAATCAAATCAAGTTGTTTCTGTCCATGGACAGTTTGGTAAAGTCCACTAACTGTATGTATTATAGCCCTTTGGGTCCTTTTAAGGCCTGATACAAATGCAATGGCACTCAAGTGCTTTCTACTGTCCAGACAGGAAGGTGAGATTCTATGGAATTGTGTCTGTAGCTGGATAGGGAAGTATATTTCATTTAGCCATTGAGCATCCTGGGTAGCCATGCTCTGCGATGGTTGTTAATAAATGATGCCTACCTCCTTTTTCTAGACCAGCTGCAACCATCTTCAACTGATATGAAACCAATTAGTTCTTTTGAAGTTTGACAGAAGTAGCATGTCAGAGAAACATACCTCACATGACCTTAAGAAATAGTTCTTGTATAACAAGGACCATGTTGTGGTTGTCATTTTGTGTAAGCGATAGTATGACCTTTCCATTCAAGAGATGGGGCATTTTTAAGCAATCAAACAACAACATAAAATAAAACAGAATATTAAAATAGTCATGGGCTATGGCCATGTATAATGGCTCAGTGAGAGAGTGCTTACCTACTGTGCTCAAAGCCTTGAGTTACACACACACACACACACACACACACACACACACTTGAAAATCCATGTAGCAATTGCTAGCAAAAACAAATGTTAATTAAAAAAAACCCACAGATTATCTAAAAATCAATGACAAATACAATTGAAACACAGAATAACTTTCCAGGATGACACATAATTTATCCCTAAGTCCCCTATAACTTTGTCCCTAATTCTATTCAATATACAAAATATATACTTAATTTAGGTTTTGAAGTAACAGCGCATGAGAATCCTGTGCCCTTTTTGTTTGTGGTTTTGTACTATAGGAAAGGAAAGGTAGACTTACAAAGCTAGAACCAGATTGCTTAACACTTTGGTTTTAGTTTTTTATTTAAAAAATCATTTGTAGAATTATTTATTTTATTTTATTTGTATAGAAGCTTTGCCTGCATCTCCTCATGTGTACTACATAGGTGCACATATATACATGCATGCCTGATCCAGAAGAGTTCATTGAATCTGTTGGAGTTACAGAGTTGTCAGCCACAATGTGGGTTCTAGGTCCTGTGGAAGAGCAACAAGGCTCTTAACCACTGAGCCATCTCTAGTTTCCATTTTTAGTTTTACAATTAGTATTCTAGCCCATTTTTACATAGTCATAGTGAAGGACATGTCACCTTGGCATTGTTTTAAATCATTACTTAAATCTTTAAAGTGTTTGTGTGTACAATCAAAGTTCTCTGTGTTCATTATGAAACTTAATTTCATGCAGGGCCTTTTCTGAGGGAAATCTTTTGCTCTGATGACTCTATTAAAAATAGGACTTTCCAGACCAGATCAGTAAGATATCTAATAAGTAAAGGCAGTTGCCACCAAGCCTGATGGCCTGGGTTTGATTAATAGATCCCACATGGTAGACAGAACTGACGGCCACAAATTGTTCTCTGACCTCCACATGCATGCTGTGGCAGAGGTGCTCATACATGCATACGTACACACACACACACACACACACACACACACACACACACACACACGTAATTAAAATTTTAAATCAGATGTACTTCCCCAGCACCTGTGTTCCCATTCCCCCTTCACTGTTTTATTCTATGATTGATGCTGTATTTACTCTCTTGGTCTGTCTTTCCCTTTATCTATCTATAACTTCCCCCACTACTCCATCTAACCAGTTTGTCTGCCTGAAAATCCCCACTAGACTGTAAGTTCTTGAGTGACAGGGATTATGTCAGTTTATTCTCCTCCGTATCCCTACCACCTACTCTGCCCAACATATGGTAGATATTTTTAATGTTGTTGTCAAGGCCTCCCCCTTTATTTTCATTATTTAGGCAGGACAGGGTCTACCTGGAATAGAAAAGCCTGGAATTGGGTATTCTTCTACCTCGGCCTTCTGAGTAGTAGAATTATAGGTGTGTACCTCTGAGCCATTCCCCATTTCTAAAGGAGAGAACTTGAAATTTGGGAAGCTGCCAAAGTATTCTTTTCAATTAAGATTCACTTATTTCATTTTTTCTGCATGCATGTTTTCACTTCATGTATGTATGTGTATCATGTACATGCCTGGTGCTTTGAGAGGTCAGAAGAGGGTGTTTTGGTTCCCATTACTGTAGTGACAAACTGTTGTGGACTTCCATGTGTGTGCTGTGAACGGAACCCAAATTTTCTGCATGAGGAGCAAGTGCTTCTAACTGCCACACTATCTTGCCAGTCCCAGACAAAGTATTCTCAATTAGTAGGAGAGACAAGAGATAAATCTCAGTGTCTGCCTTAGGTTTTCAGTAAAATTCAGCATTCATGATGTGACATTGCCACATTCCTTTTTAAAATTTTTTATTAATGCATTTTTTATTGATTCTTTGGGAATTTCACATCATGCACCCCAAATCCACTTATTTCTCAGTTCCTCGGTATCTACCCTTCACCTTTGTAGTGTCTCCCCTCAAAGAAAAACTAAAAAAAGAAATAATAAGATAAAAATAGTAAATAAATAAAATAAAAATGCAAATAAGAATATTAATTAAAAAATAAACAGAAGGAAACAAACTCCACTTCATTCCTCCATCTTTCCCACCTCTCCATCAACTCTTCATTTGTCTTGGTGGCCTTGGTACCTGCTGTGTATCATGCCCTTTTATCCAAACAGCTTTACTTGCAAATGTTAATTGTGTAATGTGTTGTTGGTCAGGTTCAAGGCCTCTGGCTTCTGATACTCCATCAATACTGGACTCTCACTGAAACTCCTCTCAGATATCCTGCAATTATGATTCCATAGGACTAGTCCATTCCCATGCTCCAGGGGGATTATACATGGGGTAGATGTTGGAGAGTGTCCACTCAAAGCCATGGATGTGTGTCTGGGTGGTAGTCGGGTTATTCTGACTAGGCTGCTGGAACCACCCTCTGCAGCTTAGGAGTAGAGCTAGCTCTCCTGCACCCATGGTGATGAGTGGGACCAACTTTCCCAAGTGTGTGTGTGTCAGGGGAAGTGGGGAGCAGGCTTTCCTATTAGGGGTGGGGCCAAATTTTCAGTGCCAGGGCAATCAAGGTCTCTTATCCCAGGGCTGGTGAGGGGTGGGGCTAGCTCAGCATGGGTCCTTGTACTTCAACACATGTTTCAAAACATGGTTCTTATAAGTAAATTTGTTGTAACTCCGTGGATTTGGTCCCAGGTTTTAAACCAAAATGTGAGTTTTGCAACTCTGAGGAAAGGGGTCCTGACTACCTAGGATTCAGGCAACACCTTGAGCTGCTTAGAACAGCTCTGGTGGCTGGAGCTACAAGGAGGCAGCCCAACCCTAGATGGGTGAAGTATCCTGGACACCTGGAGCTGGTTAGGACAGCTCTGATGGCTGGAACTGCAATGAAGCAGCCCAACCCTGGAAGGGAAATTTTCTGACTGCTCAGGAGAGTCACACCTGGAACTGCTTCAGTAGGGAAGGGTATCCTGACTGTTGGGGAATCAGGCTATACCTGGTGTGATGGGGGATGGTCTCTCCACAGGATATAGCAATCCTGCTCCTCTCCTTGACAGATGCTACAGCTGAGATTTCTCAGCCTCCACCTTTTGGACCCCAATGTTTAGAGTCTCACGTGGGCACCCCAAGAACCCAGACTCCAGTCCAGATAATGCAACAGCACGTGGATTTATTGAAGCATCTGTACAGATGGGCAAACTCTTGTCCTGAGAGAAAGAGTCGCATCTTACTGCAGCCACATTGGGGTTTTTAAAGGAAAAACCCACAAACCCCACAAGATTACAATTTCCACATAATGTCATTTCAATTGATTTATGTCTAGAAGCTAATTTCATAAAATCATTGTCTGGTTACAGAGTGATCACAGAGGGGCATACAATTACGTCAGTGTGCACATTTTTCTTGAAACCTCAAGGGGGGGGTATCAGGGCGGGAGTGGAGTTTACATGCAGGTGTCGGTGGTCCTTCCTGGGACACCTGCTACTATCCCAGTCACAGTTGAGCACATCTCTTAACAGAAATCTTTTTACTTTGCTACATTGTGGCAGGGGTGGTTAAACAATGGCTCAGTCAGCTTGCCCTTGGAACTAGATTTTTAGTTTCTCATTTCCTGGGGCTTGGGGGGGGGCAGTGTAAGCCTGAAGGGTTAGGGTCTTTTGCTCCTAAGGGGGCTTCCTAGCAGAGCTCTGCTTCTCTGGCCTAAGAAATTGCAAAAATGTAGCGATCTACTCCAGAGAAAAGTGTTACATTTCAGCTCTCTCTTGCTCTGTCCACTGAGGGACATCTCAACAAGAATCTGTTCATCTCCCCCTTTCTCAGTACAATATGGGACGTCTCAGCAAGGTTCTTCTCTATGCCAGTAAATGAAGGTCTTCACACCCAAAACTCTTTGGAGAAAAAGATTTATTTGGGAAAGAGGAGTCCAGGAGAGTAGCTGCCTCTAGCAGGGTGGAGAGAACAGCTCACAACTGACCAGGCAGGACGGTTTATATAAGATGTCTTGGGAGTGGAGTCAACCAGTGATTGGTTAGTTTTTTTCTGCCCAGGGGTTGGCCAGTTTTGTGGGCTAGGGACAGAAATGGCCCTGATTTCAGGACAAAACTGTATTCTTTCATTGGCCTTTCTTGGCTTTTTGACACTACCTCTAAGGCCAGGGCACATTTCTTTCACTGACTCTGATTCTAGGGGCCAAGATTATTTTTTTGGTATTGGTTTCAAAGTCAGGGCATGTTTCCTTGGTTCATTTCTCTGGCTCAGGTCCCAAACCCAGGTGTTTCTTTCCCCAGTCCTGGGCCCCAGGGTCAGGATTCTACTGTCTTGCTCTGTGATCTGTTGGTTCACAAGTCCCTTAGCCAGGAGCAGATATGGCTCTGATTTGAGCCAAATTGTATTTATTTCACTGGCCTTATCTGAGCCTTCTTTCCCTGTATCTGGGCGGGTGGGTTTCTTTTGCCAGCCCTTTTCCCTACACTACTCATGGATCCCTGTGATAACACAGACAATAGAGATCAACACAGACCCCAGCTGCAGCAGAACCATGGACCTAGATATGCCATCAGCCCCAGCTTAGGTATGGATGTTACCATGGCCCCGGGTAGCAGTGCAGGCCTCTTAGATTGGCATATACTTGGCCTCAGCCTGGTCCCCAGACTCCAACATGGCCCCATGTGTTACCTCAGACCACAGGCAGTGCCATAGCCTTCAGTGACCTCAACACAGACCCCAGCTGCAGTAGGACCACAGACCTAGATATGGTCCTAGACAAAACCCCAGGCCTGGATGCCACCATAGCCCCAGGTGGCTTCACAGGCCACTCAGATCTGCATCAATCTGGTGGCAGGGTGGCCCTCAGATAACAAAATGGCCTCAGATGGGGGCCCAGACCCCGGCATCCATATGACCTTCAAAGGTAACAGGTGCCTTTGCTGTGGTAGGTCTATAGACCCCAAAATGGCCATCACCTGCCTCCATGGCTCCAGATGGCAGCCTAAGCCATGCAGATTGGGATGGCTTCTGCTATGGCATGGCCCTCAGACACCAATATGGCCATATGTGGTGGTATTCCAGACCTTGGGCATCCTCAGGGCCTTTGGTAGTAATAGGAGTTATGGATATCAACATAGACTGGCTGGCGCAGGGCCATAAACCTGGACATAGCCTTTGGCAGCAGTCCAGGACCCAACACTACCATGGCCCCTGGTGACAAGCAGGACTCCTATAGTATCCTGTTCCTCATCGCCTTCACCTCTTCACATCTGTGTCTCTCCAACGGACAGGGACCATTCAGCCTCTCTCTCTTCCTCATATTCCACCATGTGTTTGCTCACCATAATTGTGCTCAACTGCCTGGCACAGTAAGGCACTGTGTGAGCCTGTAGTTATCTCTCCCTGCCTAGGGCAAATCACCTTAGGCAGGTGTGTGTGTGTGTGTGTGTGTGTGTGTGTGTGTGTGTGTGTGTGTGTGTGTTCATCACTGCCCACTCGGTCCTAATGGCACCTCTCAGGCCTGTAGTTTCTTCTCCCTGCCCAGGGCAAACAGCCCCGAGAAGGCACGTGTATGTCCATCTCTGCCTGCTCTCCAAGTCCCTTTTAAAACTGGGAAGTGGACAATAAATTTAAATACTTTCAATTTAGTCACAAAACAATATTTAAATAAAATCATATTTTCTACATGTGAGTCTAGTTGGTTTTCATTTTATGGTTATGAAAAATATAAACTTACCATTTTTATGACTAAAACACTCTCATAAGGATGAATTGAAAAACCTTAGGACACTAGATAGGTTACTGAGTTCCAAGGACATGCTTATAAAAATAGGTTTTCCTCACTGGAGATGGTAATTATTAAAGATAGAATTTTTTATCAGCAATTATTTTTCTCAAACTTTTCCTCACTAATAATGTAATATGCTTCTCTATATCAATTTCTCATTACTTGTTGTATTTCTTTCTTCCCTAAAGAAAATCTACTGTCGCTTCCGAAGTGAAAGTGAAGATACTTCAAGGGCTTTTTTGGGTGTATTTACATCAGGAGGCCTTGCTCCCACACTGATAATCTCTAACAGTACATACCATGAAGAATTCCACTTTAACTTATCTCTGGTAACTATTCTTTATTTTATACTGTTATGTTAATGAGAAGAAGCATAGTGTCACTTATTGGATATCTTTTTACAAGTTAGAAATTAAGTAATGTTGTATTTCTACACATGTTTAAATCCAGTAATACATGTTATGGAATATTCGCTTACACTATGTGAAGATATGTCATGTGACTGGTTTAATAAAAAGCTAAATGGCTGTGGCTTGGCAGGATTTGGGGGCAGAGATAATGCTGGGAAGAGAAGGGTAGAATTGCAAGGAGATGTCAGGGATGCAGAGCAAGCAGCATGGCCTTTACAAAGTAAAGGTAATCAAACTACATAAAAGAACGTAGACTAGAAGATATGAGTTAATTTAAATTACAAAAACTAGTTAGAAACAAGCCTAAGCTATCAGCTAAGCTAGCTTCATAATTAATACAAAGTCTCCATGTGGTTTTGGAAACTTGCATGCAAGACAGAAAAATCTGCCTACAAATACAGTATAAGTTGTTAATTAAGAAGTCACATATTTTGCAAGTACTTAGAACACATTAAAAAAGAAAATGATGGTGGTGGTGGTGATGGTGATGATGATAATGGCACATGCCTATAATTCCAGCATTTGGTAGGTAGAGACATGAGGATTGCTGTAAGTTCAAGGCCATCCTGGAATACAGAGCAAAATCCTTTCTCTCCACCCCCTTTAAAAAATAAATCACTTAGAAGAAAAACATTTGAAGTAATTAATACTTCTGTTGCTTTTGAAGATCTGACATCTTTTCTGCTAGCTTCAATTTCTTCCAGCATTTTCAGTGGCAGTCAAATGGCAGTGAACTAGTGTTGATCCCTACCATCTATAAAAATTGTACCTTAATTTTAAACCAATTTATCAAGATAAATTCATATACCATTCAACTCACCCACTGAAAGTCTATATATAGTTCATTGGTTTTTAGTATATTCAGGGTTGTACAGGCTCACTAGTATATAATTCCAGAACATTTCATCATCTTGAAAGACAACATGAAGTCATTAACTGTCACTCCTCACACTTCTTCCAATTTCCAGCCCTAAGCAACCACTATTCTGCTCATGTTCTCTCTCCCTATCCATAGATTTTCTAATTCTTCATAGCCAATATGAATAAAATACAATACTTAGTATTGGTAGCCACCTACTTCAGTTTTCATAGTGTGCTCAAGTTCCATATACAGCATGGGAAATGTCAATGCTTTGTTCTTTCTATGGGTAAGTAATTCACTACTGTAGACGTAGCACATTTTGTTTATCCTTCAGAAGGTGAATATTGGACTACTTTCTATCTGTGGCTCTTATAACTGCTGCTGCGGAAATAGGTTTTCATTTATTTGAGATACATAGCCAGGAATGGAATTGTTGGGTTATATGGTGAGGAACCGCTGTTTTCGAAGGTATTAGTACTCTTTTCTTTTCATACCCCTGACTACTTGGTCACAATTTGTCTACATCCTCACCAAGGTTTACTATAATCTCCAAGAACATACAAAATGCTACCTCATCATGGTTTTGATGTGCATGTCTTTAATGCTGTCTATCACTTCTTGGGCTTATTGGGCACTTGAAATTCTTCTTAGGGGAAATGGTTATTCCAATTCCTTGCCCACTGTTAATGGGGTTTCTGTTTACATTGATAAATTATCACAGTTATTTATATATTCCAGGTACAGCTCACTTATAAGATAGGTGATTTGCAAATATTTTCTTCTACTCTAAAAGTTAAAAGTTTTGTCACTTGTGCATTTTGTGTCATGTGTAGAAAAACCATTTTCTGATCCAAGATCTTACAGGTTTATCCCTATCTTTGTTCCAGGATTCTATAGCTTTTGCTTTCCTTTTTGCACATTGAAAATTTTGTCATCCATTTTTGTATATTACAATACATAAGACTCATTTTCGAATAGCTACGGTTGATATATTTAACATTGAAAAGTGAAAACAATTTGTGGGTCCTGTTAAAATATTTAAATTACAGACACAGTCAGGACAGGAATGATCTCAGCCCAATTCCTGAGGTGGGGTGAAGGACTTGAGCCCAGCCTCCATCTGGAACAGGCTTCTCCTTCAAGCTGAGATAGGTTCAAGAGAGGAAGACCTCAGCCCCATCTATGTGAGCAGACAACATTGAGAAGCTGCTATTGCTGGCCAGAGCTCATTTCCTCTTCTTCCCTGCAGTCTTATTTTCTTGGGATTCTGTTGCTCTATGTTTTATGTCTGGGAGATCTGAAGAAACGGCAAGAGCAGGCTTCCTTGACAGAACCCAATCCATATCACTCATCTCTTTTAGGATCTTAGTATCGGGAGTGGCACAGACAGGGTTGAAGAAGCACAGTTTGGGGTCACCTCTGTAGGATCCTCCAGTTTGAAAGAGCTTAAGAATCCTGGTTCCACTCAATAGTGCCCAAGCTATCTTGTTCTTGCTGGCGATTCTGGCACTTGGTGGGGTCATATCCACAGGCCACACTGCAGTCCAACCCTTGTTTCCTGCACCCATTAGTGTTTGTTCCTATACCATCCTCTGCAGGAACACCCTTAGATGGTCTTCCTGGACACCTTAGCCTGTTTCCTTGGTTTCCACTCTTCATCATTGGCATCACCATCTTCAGACTCATTTACAGAATCCTCTGAAAGATATATTAGATAATCAATGTCTATGCTGTGTTCCAGGAACTTGTCTCCAACACGGGATGGTTTGGGTGGAGGTGGAATGTAGTCAAAGGAAGAATTTGGAGATGGAAGGTCTTCCTTAGGAAGATGAGATTTCTGGCCTTTGGCACCTTGAAAGATGCTAAGTTTTTGTCTGATGGCTTCATTCTCTTGCAAAAGCTGCTGCTTTTGCTCACACACTTCCTGCATTTTCCTAAACTGTTCCTCCTGACACTGCAGTGTCTTCAGCAGCTGCTGCTCCTTTCCACTGATCGACACCTCCAGCTGCTTCTCTGCTCTTTGGATTTGCTGCAGCTGACTGATAAGATAGAGCACCTTCTCTTGGTACATTTACCCTACCTTGAACAACTCAGTTTTCCATTCTGTCTCTACCACAACGTGCCTCTGCTCCTTCTGCATTTTAGAATAGCCGGCCTGGCTCTGTTTCAGGTTGCTTTCAAGCTTGATGACCCATAGTTTAGAGGAGACCAGCTCTCCAACCAAATATTTTGAGCACATTTGGCTTCCAGAATAGTAGTGATATTCTCCTAGTGTCTTTTTGACCTGTCTTCACTTTCTGCATCCAGGAGCTTTTGCTGTAGGTCAGCAATCTGAGCACTCCTGAGTTCCATTTCAGACTCTAGGCTTTTAATCTGCTCTGTAATAGAATCCTCTGGATCTGAAACATGACCACATACTTCATCACTAGTGAATGTGCTCCTCAGGGGAGTGTAGGGGGTGGGTTCTCCCCAGGTTCCTTGTTTTCTTTAAGTTGACCCGCATCCAGGCCTAGGATCTTTCACTCTTCAAGAAGGTCATTCAGATGGTGTTTGACTTCCTCCGTACTGACCATAACTTCAATTTCATTTCTAAGCCAGTTCTTCACTCATGCTTCTGTGCCTTCTGTCCATGGCTCTGAGTTTCTTTCAATTTATCTGCAGCTTCCTATTGCTTTTTGAGGGCATCCTTGAGGTACTTGTTGGCAGCTGCTACCTTTTCAGTTTTCTGCCTGAGGACATTGGATTGTTTCTGGAAGTCTCTTCCAAGTTTGAGCAGTTTGTATCGCCTTTTTACAGTCTTGTTCTTTTAACTGGATTACTTCTTTGTCCTTTGGTTTCTTCTACTGTTTAGACTTCTCAGCATCTTTCTTCATCTGACGCATTAACTGTGCTCGCTGGGTTTTCATCATCTGTATCTCCAGAGTCAATTTGGAGCCAGTCCTCTCAGTGGACTCTTTCAGTTTAAGAAGCTTGGACTGTTCATTTAGTTTCTTCTTCAAATCAGCTATTTGAGCCTCCAGCTCTTGTAGACATTTGTTGTGAAGCTCATTCAACTTGGGCTGGTTGACATCCTTCTTGGCTGCCTGAAGTTCCAGAAGCAATTGTTCCTTTTCCTTCTGCAGACTGCTGACTTCTGGTTTTAGACTTTTGATGTTAGCCTCATACAGGCACTGAATGGACTGTTGTTGGCCATCACTGAAAGTTATCTTCCTAGCCAGGTCCTCTTTCAGTGCAAGAGCTTTATTAAACTCAGCAGAGTTCCTTAGACATCTGAGCTTGATGTATCAGGGACCATGGGGGGTCCAGCCCCTTGATAGTCCCCTCCCAGGGTCTGGGAAGAATCTACAACAAGCTGATAATTTATCTTTGATGAAAAGAAATTAATCTATGTACACAAAACTCCTTAGTTCATACACTTTATTCTTCTGTGATAGTTCTCTTTGTATACAGCTTCTATTCTGCTCTTATGTCTAGCTCCTTGCTTGCCTGATTTCTCTCTATATTTATTTACTGTCCCCTCTAGGTTCTATCTTAATTCCTTCATCTAGTTCTGTTTCTTCTAGGCTCTCATCTATCTAGTTCTTTCCTCTATGAGCTCCTCTCCCATCTCCTTCTCTCTCATCTGGGTCTTCCTCATGTTGTTCTTCCCCATCTGGCTCTTCCTCATCTTCCATCTCATTCCTCTAGTCCTCTCTTCTAGCCCTTCAATCTAGCCCATCTAGTTCTTCCATTCTCTTTTTTCTTCTCTGTCCTGTGCTGTGGAAGTCCCGGTATATAAAGGGAGGATCCGAGCTAAATTGTGTAAAGCTATTCCTTAATGTCCACTTCTCCTAGGCAGTGTCTCCTTGTGGAATTTACCTTAAGTCAGGAGACTTGCACGTGGGCTGCTATCATTGTTAGTCCTTGGAAGTTGGGCCCCCACCTGGGTGGTATTTCCTGTATTCCTTGAAAGTGGCTAAGGAAGATACCTGATTCCAGAGAAAGCCTTTCCCGAGGCTGTTCTCCAAATACCTAGAATGTGTATGTCCAAAGAATGACCAATCCACACTGTTAGCCCTTCTTAGGGAAAAGTCAATTGGGAAAACTATGAAGGCACACGTGATTTTCATAACAGAATACAGCTGATATATAACAAGTCAAGTAGCACCAAAAACTCCTTGGGATTTGGCTTCCTCTGGAGGAATTCTCTGATTCCTCCATGTATGGACTTTGCCATAACCAGCTGAGTTCTTATGATATATTCCTGAGGCCTGCAGCATTGATATAGAGTGTGCTGTGTGGTGAATGCATCAGAAGACCTACTAGTCTCTGGACTAATGGTAACTTGACCATCTAGTTCCATTGCCGATTCTGTGGCTGCAGCTACAAAAGCAATGGTTTCATCCGACAGAAAAATAATAACTTGTTGCAGACTGCAAATTAGCTCTGCATTTTCTATTAATTTCTGGTTTTCCAAAGTCTCCATTAGCTTTTGAAGATCCAGTTTACAGGCTGCGTGATGCCTGAGCTCTTGTAGCTTGGTGTTAATTTTCTCATTTGCTTGTTCTGTAGTAATGATCCTTTCCAACATCTGCAATCTCTGACCAGCTGCCTTGCTCAGAACGTGACTTAAATTTTCATTCTCGTCTACCAGGGACTGATTCTTTTACATCAGAGATTGAAGAGTCTCTTTTGGTTCTATGTTTATAGATACAGGCAGACTACTTCCCCGGGGCCTGGAGCAGTAAGAATTGTAGCTGTTGAACCTGATACTTCAGATGATTAAGTTCAGCATATTTCTTTCACTGACTGTGATTCTAGGGAAAAAGTATGCTTCTTTGGTACTGGTTTCAGGGTCAAGGCATGCCCCTTTGATTATGGGTTCAGGGATAAAGTAATTTTTTCACTGGCTTGGGTCTCAGATCCAGGGTGTGTTTCTTTCACTGGTTCTGGGCTCCAGGGTGAAGATGGGTTTCTTTAGCTGGCCCTTTTTCCTACAACCTGTTAGCCAAACTGAGTCAACTGACTCTACATTTGCCCCCATAATATCAGTGTTAGGGTCCTGGAGAAGTCCCACAAAAGACCACCATCTACATATGCAATCAGCAAGACCATTTATTTTCTAGTATCCTGGGGCCGTCCATCCTACTCAAAGGCAAAATGGCAATGACCCCAAGAGAAGCTCCCAGGCTTCTTTTAAGCACAACCAAGGGGAGTTCCTAGGGCAGTTAGGCCATCTCAGATATGATTGGCTTAAGCAAGTGGCAATCATAGTAGTATGTTCTAATGGGCTAGGGCTAGTCACAGACTGGTTAAGGCTATAGCTTTTCCTTTTGGGGGCAAGCCTGGATGAGTCCCAGGCTTTGTCCTTATTTGGTTATTACCTTGAGCTATTGACTGCAGAGGCTGGCTTGCCTAGTATGTGTTGACTGTTGGGGCTGGCTCAGGCCTGGTATGTACTATCTCCCTCATCCCTGCTGTCAGAGGTGTTGAAGATTGATTGTTCTTTGTTCATGGCTCTTGCTCAGAAACTGTCTCCTCGGTTCCAAGAAGCAGGAACTGAGACCTAGTTCTTAATTGAGTTATTAGGGCAGGCTTTCATGATATCTGGCTGGCCCTCTCAATCAGTTACATTTGCCTTTTTTCCCCTATTGTCATTGTTTTGGTTGAAAACTGGACATGGTAGGCAGCATGTGGCAACTCTGGATTCTGGTTCATTCTTCTAAGAAACAGATTTTACTGTTAGTCTAAAGCAGATAATTTCCTTGGTAAAAAAGAAAAAAACTGCAAACTGTCTTACCTGTAGTTCTGATGGTTAATATGCTGCTAGGTTTTTTTTTCTTCCACTGCTTTTTGTTAGGTTCCATGAGAAATCTCACAAAAGACCACCACTCACATATGCAATCAACAAGAGCATTTATTAAAATTACCAACATGTTGGGGACTGACCATCTGACAAAGTAGCAATTGGTGACACCAAGAGAAGCTTCTCAGCTCCTTTTAAGCAGGGCTAGGGGAATTTCTGGGAGGAGAAATTCGTCTGGAGGATGATTGGTGGAGAAAAGATTAGTCTGGGGGCTTATTGGTGGGTGGCTCTAGTGGTTAGGGACTTTCCAGCAACAGAGTAGGGAGAGCCATCTTTAGCTAGCAGATGACTGTGGGGTACCTGTTGATTGGTGGCCCCTGAGTTGTGGTCTTCCTGAGAACTGCTTGTTCAACTTCAGTAAACCGAAACTAAAGCCTGGTTTTTGACAGGGCTGTTAGAAACCTGTCAGGGCTCCCCTACCCTCATACTTTTCTTTTTAAAGCTGTTCTGGGAGTGTTTTCTACACTGGTGTAGCAGGAGGTTTAGACATGTTTTTGATGTGAATTTTAAAGCTCCCCATTCGTAATGCTCTCCTGTTCCTGGCATTTCCATTTTAAATTTTGAAATGTTTTGCCAGTCCCATGCCTTGATTCTGTAATGATTCAGCTTTGTGCTTCCTGGGGTGTTCTAACATGTGAATATATATATATGTATATATATATATATATATATATATATATATATATATATATATATATTACTAGCATTGCCAACAATATGCTATTACAAACAATGCAATGTGTGTGTTTGTGTGTGTGTGTGTGTGTGTGTGATTTCACTCACATGTGAGTATAACATGGGGATAATCCCTAAGAGTGAAATTTGCTATTGAAAACCCTTTATCTATAAGTGGACATATGTATATATATTTGGTTATTTTTAACTAATTTAATTTTTAAATTATTGGGCAGGATGCCAAAGTAAGTGTTGTTCTTAATGTTGTAAAATAATGTATGCTGATTTCTTCTTTCTTCAAGTTCAACAATCGGGCTCTCTGGTTCATTGATATTCCTAGAGAAAGCATCACAGTAAACACAGGTAAGAGGGATCTGAAGTAATTCTTGTACTCATGGGTCTGGATTGCCATATTTAGCAAATAAAAGCATTGACTTCATGTAATAAATTATGCCTTATCTCATGTGTTGTTGACAGACATTTCCTGGGGAGATGCAACACATGTGTCTACTCTGTCTACTCACCCCAGAAAGGGAGCCAGCAGCAGACTGAAGTAACTATTGTACCAGTGTCCATTTTGGGGAACCACTGAGTTTTTTTCAGGGGGTTCCGAAGCAAGCTGTGAGGGGTTCCTCATGAGGAACAGGGATAACTCAAGTGTGGCTGCATCACCGGAAAGCTCACCCTCACTTGGGTTGTGACTCCCCAAACCTGCAGCCCTGTAGCTTTCTACAAGCCTGCTGCAGCTCCACAGTTGGACATCTCTCTTTCCTGGGATGTCTAGTCCGTCTCTACCCTCTGCAGCTGTTACTCCCCCTTACATAGTGGGGGGAGGCACGAAGAATCTTCCACAGTTCTGTTCTGGATTTGTACCCTTTGGTTTACCTACTGAAACTGGTGAGCCAAGGCCTGCCCCCTTGAGGAAATGTTTCAGTTTGGAGAGAACATTATAATTTGGAGGAATGTTCCATACGACATCATATAAATGCCTCATATACTTGTATAGGACATACTAATAATTATTTGTGGTTTATCTAAAATTCAAATTTAGCTGGGCATTTTCTCTGGCAGTCTTACAAGTTGACTGGACTAACATGTTTGTATTATATAGCAGTATGTATTTTTGTACCATTCCTTATTTAAAACAAACCCATTTTCCAGAAAGTGGAAATTGTAATACTGGGGAAATTGGGCCTTGATATATTATATTGAAGTGGAATTAATCTGAAAATGTTACAGGATGTAATATGTGATGTATTATTTTGTTATGGAACCTACTCATAAGTGGTGTGTGGAAGTATAACATCACATACTGCTGTAATACCCAGAGGGAGAAAAGGAGGAATATCAAATTCCAGGAGTTGGGAATATTGAGCTAGTGGACCAAATTAATATCTTTTCAGTAGGGGATATATTCCCATATTTGAAAAATGGTGGAACTCTAATGATATGTGCAAAATAAATACTGAATTAATTTTGCCTATAGAAATGAAAATATTTTTTATTTTATTTTTTATTTCAACATCTCCCTGCCTCAGCCATCATAATTGCCTATAGCCATTTGTCTAAGGATGGAACATAATTATCCCTTCAAAAGTTGTTGGGTGATTGGTGCTGTTATTTATTATTCAGATTTGTTTTGGCAACCATATATTTTTGATTTCATGAGTGCATTTTTCCTGTTATATAGAAGATGCAATCTTGCAAGTAACATCCTGGTCCTTACTAGCTCTCACAATCTTTCCACCACCACACCAGTGGTTCCACAATGTTCTCTGAGCCTTAGGTGTAGGGGTTGTGTTATACATGTGGCTGGGCACTCTATGTGCATCCAGAAGTTTTCCTGTGTCCTGCAGCCACTTGGTTCCAAATAAGCACACAGAGGCTTATATTAATTACAAACTATTTGGTCTATGGCTCAGGCATATAGCTATCTAGCTTGTTTATCTTGGATTTACCCAATTCTATTAATCTGGGTATTGCCACATGTCTCATGGCTTTACCAGTGTTCCATTTCATCTTGTTCCCCTGGCAGCACTCAGTGTTTCTCTGATTCCACCTTTCTTCTCCCTGTATCTCTCTTGGATTTCTCACGTGGCTATATCTTATTTTGCCATAAGCCCAAACAGCTTCTTTATTAACCAATAGTAACAACACATATTCACAGTGTACAGCAAGACCATCCCTCAGGACTCTATGGTCTGTTGTTCTCTACATTTTGACCAATATGACTTTCTCTAATAGTTTTTGCTGCGAAAAGAAGCTTCTTTGATAAGAGGCAAGAGCTACATGTATCTGTGGCTGTAAGGAAAAGTATTAAGAATGCAGTTAGAAGTCAGGCATAGTGGCACACACCTTTAATCTCAGCACTAAGGAGGCATGGGCTGGCAGATCTCTGTGAATTTGAGACCAATCTAGTCTACAAAGAGAGTTCCAGGACAGCCAGAACTGTTACACAGAGAAATTTGTCTCAAAAGAATGAGGAAGAGGAGGAGGAGAAGAGGAAGAAGAAGGAGGAGGAGAGGGAGGGGAGGAGAAGGAGGAGGTGGAGGAAAGGGAGAAGGA